CAGTCAAAGGCTTTGGCATAGTCAGTAAAGCAGAAATAGATGTTTTTCTGGAACTCTCTTGCTTTTTCGAACAGCCAAGGGACTCAGCCATTCATATACATGTATCTATTCTCCCCAAAACTCCCTTCCCATCCAGACTGCCACATAACATAGAGCAGATTTCCCTGTGCTATACACAGGTCCTTGTTGGTTATCCATTTAAAATACAACAGTGTGTACACGTCCACCCCAAACTCTCTAAACTATCCTGCCCCCCCACCCCTTCTTCCTCCCTGGCAACCATAAGCTCCGTCTCTAAGTCTGTGAGTCTGTTTCTATTTTGTAAATAAATTCATTACTATACAACTTTAACTGTAAAAGTTTAATTTAGATTTCAACTGATAACATCATTAAACTAGAGAAAAACAAGTTTAGATTTTCTCAAAGGATAGAGTAGGATTCCAAGAGATACTGTGGTGTAGTTTAGAAAAACAAGTTTTCTGCCAGAGAGCTTATAGTAAACAGGAAAGGGGAGGGGAGGAGGGCAGCCAAGAGCAGAAAACAAGGTAACATGTTGGAAATGGCAGGGTAGAATTGCTGGACCCAGTTTTAATCAGTTTGGGTTTAGCTCCAATGTAAGCACTTAAAGGAAGATCCCAATAAAATTGCATAATATTTATTTCCTATAGGTATTGGTTGAGAAACATTTCTGAAAATATGTGTATTTTACCATCTTGTGAAAGTTATCTTTCATGTTATAATTTATATCTAGAGGCTTCATGCTCTCCAGGTGTCTCAGTGGTAAAAAATCTGCCTGCAGTGCAGAAGACATGGGTTCAATCCCTGGGTCGGGAAGATCTCCTGGAGAAGGAAATGGCAACCCACTCCAGTAGTCTTGTCTGGAAAATTCCATGGACATATCACGCTGGTGAGCTACAGTCCATAGGGTCACAAAGAGTCAGACACGATGGAGCACACACACACAGAAGTTTCCTATGTTTTATAATGATATTTGCATATTATTTAAATGTATTTGTTTATTGGAATAATAATAATATTATATACCATTTGCTGCATTGCTATACTAGTGAAAATCTTGTATTCTTACAGTAGGTAAATATAAGACATTATTGTATATCTGCAGAACCAAAAATAATACATCTATTGTGTTCCAAAGTATATTATACACTATAGAAATGATAACCATTTGAGATAAATATAAATGATGCTCTTCTGTTCACTCAGCTACTTCTTCCCCTGACACCCATACACACAGAGAGGGAAATAATCTTTCATTTACTATGACTTTCTTACGATTTCCAGAGTCCCATTAAGTCTAAACCCTGCTAGGATATTTCCTCTGGACAGACCCTGGCTTTAGAAAGACACATAGTGAAACCAATTCTTGATAAGCCTGCATCTTTGTGCCCTGAATATCTCCAGGCTGCTCTCTCAAAGACCTGCTCTTCCATGTTCTGGCAGGGAGCAAATGATGGGGGAGGGAGAGGGGGGCAGAAGTGTCGCCATCTATGCCCAGCTGGTCCAGATTATCTGACCTCTTGAGCTGCATCCGCTGACTACCCCCATATCCCATTATAAATCATCTCCTTGTTGAACATCGGGCCAGACTGGGGTCTGATTCATTGGCTGAACGTTGCTACCTGGCTCCAGGAGGAGCCTGCGTCTCGGTCCTGTAATAGTCATCACATTTTAAGAAACCTTCACATTTTTGAACAGTTACATAGTGTCCTCAGCTGAAGAAAGAGGAAGTCTGGAGTCCATTTCCGGCAACTCGCGGGGAGCTGCTTTCCTCTCCTTGACATTAGCAGAGTTTGTCAGCTTGTTAATCTTTAAGGGGATTTGGGGTTGAAATTTGGGGGTAGGGGTGGATAATATAGACAAAACTCTTCAAAATGGTTTGAAGAAATAAAGTAGATGCCCGTGTTTTTTTATGGCTGTGATTCCCACTTGGCCTTGGATTTCAACTTCCAAGTTCATGTGAAAGGGAAACCACAAACTATTGGATAGTGTAAAGCACTATAGTAATAGTCTCCACCTTTTTTCATGATGACTTCCAAGTCTGTTTCCTTAATTCTGAGGTAAAAGAAGCAATCAATAACTGTCATATACATTATATGCAGACAGAGCATTCTGAGCATTACAGAATCTGGGTCTTCTTGGTGGCTCAGTGGTAAAAAAAACAAAACCCGCCTGCCGATGCAGGAGATGCAGAAGATTCTGGTTTGATCCCTGGGTCAGGAAGATCTCCTGAAGGAGGAAATGGAAACCCACTCCAGTATTCTTGGCTGGGAAATCCCATGGACAGAGGAGCCTGGTGGACTACAGTCCATGGCTTCTCAAAGAGTCGGACATGATTGAACACACCCACAGAGCATTTGAGCATTACAGAGTCTGGGTCTTTAGAAGGCCAAAGTGAGCTGACTAGTTTGGCCTGAACACCTTTTCCTCCTTTTTCATTATTTCTCTGTCTGATGCCCAGTACTCATTTAAGAAGATTTTGCAGGAAAAGCAGAAACAGGACATGGTTGGACTAATCCCCTTTCATGGAAAACCTTGATTTTGATAAAGTTCCCTAACTTGCAAAGTCTTTTGTCAATCCTAAAGGAAATCAACCCTGAATATTCATTAGAAGGACTGATGCTGAAGCTGAAGCTTCAATACTTTGGCCACCTGATGCGAAGAGCTAACTCATTGGAAAAGACCTTGATGCTGGGAAAGATGGAAATCAAAAGGAGAAAAAGGGTGGCAGACGATGAAATGGTTGGATGGGATCATGGACTCAATGGACATGAGTTTGAGCAAACTCCAGGAGATGGTAAAGGACAGGGAGGCCAGGCACGTTGCAGTCCATGCAGTCGCAAAGAGTCAGACACGACCAAGTGACTGAATGGCAACAACTTGCAAAGACCATATTTGGGATGAGATGAAACAGAGGGGAGGAAAAATTCCCCCACAGAGACTTGACTCTAGGAGTCATACTTACTAATTACTCTCTGACGAATATATATTTGCCTTCGACGAAACAGTAGAGACAGTCTACATCTGGCAAACTTCACAGGAGGCTTGTGTGTGGCTGGAACAGTAGAACCATTGTTTGTAATATTAAATGGTAGAGAGTCAGGATGACCTCTCCCGGGCTTCTGTAGATATTGTGTCCAAGTCCCTTCCTCCTTGGGGCAAAGAGATAAACCTTCTAAGAAGTCTCCTCTGTAGATTTTTTTTTAGAGAAATGCCATGCATAGATTGTCATGCCTTTTCCATGAGAGTGCTATTTAAGCTGTTCCCCCAAACCATAGGGCTTCCCTGGTCACCAGGAAATTGAATCTGCTGGCAATGCAAGAGACCTGGGTTTGATACCTGGGTTGGGAAAATCCCCTGGAGAAGGGAATGGCAACCCACTCCAGTATTCTTGCCTGGAAAATCCCATGGACAGACAAGCCTGGCAGGCTATACAGTCCATGGAGTCGCAAAGACTCGGACACGACTCAGTGATGACACTTCCACTTTATTTTCCATGAACCACGGTGGGTGCTGTGGAGTTTAAGGGCCCCTGTGGAAGGATAGAGGGGCAAAGATTTCAGATCTCTAATCTGTATTTAAGCTATAGCTGCCATGCTTTTTGAAAAAAATTCTTTATTATTATTATTGTTGTTGATTGTGCTGCCTGCGGGCTTTCTCTAGTTGCAGTGAGCAGGGACCACTCACTAGTTGTGGCGCACAGGCTTCTCAGTATGGTGGCCCCTCTGGTTGTGGTACACGGGCTTAGCTGCTCCAGGCTATGTGGGATCTTCCCAGACCAGGGATAGAACCCATGTCCTCTTCATGCGTTGGCAGGCAGATTCTTAGCCACCTGACCCCCAGGAAAGTCCAGAGTCACCTTGCCTTTGTTTCTTTGACTATCAGCTTCCCACATAAGATCTAGTGTGTAGAAAGAGTTCCACTGCTCTTAAGGAAAAAAGAAGGTTGGGGGGATTTGAAAATCAGGTCTATGACATGACACTTTGCCTTCCAGGTCTTTGTTCCATCCTATAGGAGGGCAGTGGCAGTCAACACCAATGTGTGGCATGGGATAAATCTCAAGCAGAAACCTTTATGACTCTGCTTTGAGAAGTCTCTGCAAAGTTTGAAATATGGCAAAGAAAAATGCCAGTGCTCCACACTATAAGAATTACCAACTTTTAATGAGTCCACTGAAGCAGATAATCAATGAGGCTTCTAAGAGGCATTTTTCTCCTCCAGGTCTTAGCATCATTACAAGCTCCTGAAGGATGGAAGTTGTTCTGAAAGACAAAAGCTGTTTTTCTATGATTTTAAAAAATGAAGTTCAAAAATATTGGAACACTTTCTCTCAACATTTATTCTTTTAGTCTGCCTTTGCTTAACTTTTAAGGAGAGGCAGAAGGTACAATAGACTGCATAGAAAACTAGCAATCAGAACTGTGTTTAAGTCTTAATTCTGCCCCTTATTATCTATGTGTTTGAGGATAAGTTGTCTAACTTCTTTACATTTGAAGGCATTTATTACAAAATATTAATAGAAACATTTGTGCAGCCTACATGACTTAAATGGACAAAACACAGAACTGGTTACAGCAGACTCTCAAACAGAGGTCTACACTCATGCTTTTTGTTTAATTTGAGGTTTTAACATACAGACTGACAGTTGCATGGCCTCATAGCTATGTGAGGTATTCAGAATGTAATTGGTTATCATTTTAATACCTGCACGTGTTGGGTGGTCCGAGATGATGAAAGAATTCAGGCTTCCCACAAGTTCAAAGGTGTTTAGTGGTAGACAGAAAATGAACCCACATAACTTGAGAAGATCTAAGGAAACAGAAAATCAAATGAGGTAATCAGCCTAGGTTCAAGTTGTAGATGTGGATGAGAAGGAAAAAGAATTAGGTCATGAATGAGACATGACTTGAGAAGTCCTGTGTGTGTGAAAACTCCCTTTGAGTTATACAGTCATTGACGTAATCAGTTACCAATACGAACTAATGCATCCCATCAAAGTTGCTGACAAGATGCAATTAGTGTCCTGGGTAAAATTTTTCTTTTTGCAACCCCAGGCATGCTGAGAAAGCAACCCATGTTACACATGGCATAACATAACAGTGTCCTTAATTGCTGGAAAGTTGTCCTGAAATCATATAATACTCACCAGAAATTGCTTGTCAAAATTCACATCAGTTACTTGAAAGGGTAAATATCTTTCTTAGGGGTAAGTCTCATAACCCCTAGGGGAGTTAGAATTCAGCTTTTAAATGTGGAAGACAAGAAATACCAGGGTCTTTAATATTTGGTGGCTGAGAATTGAGTGACTGAGCTTGTTCTTAAAACTTGTTTCATGTTTATGAAAAACTGGCATATTAGAGTGACAATAACTGAAAATTAAAATGTGAGTTATATTTTAAAGTGGTCTCATGAGTTTAGTTTTAAATCTTTCCAAGTTTATGTCCATTATTGGGACATTTAAGAGAATTTGAAATTTGTTATATTTATGTTTGCTTATTAGATTTATTAGGAAAGGTTTGTTAAGTTAGTCAATCAAAGCACTTAAGAGGGAAATCAAACATATCAAATTTAAATATGCAGTCTAAAATATTTGAAGGAATTGAATTAGCTAAGTTTATAATCGAGACCAAGCATTATGTAAAGAATTCTAAGAGCAAATGTTAAAATTTGCTAAGAGAATAAAGAGAATAATACCATTTATAAGCAGAATTTAAAAGCATAAGGAAGAACTAGGGTTTTAACTTTGCATTGTATCTAATATTAATTTTAGAAACTAAATAAACTTCTGTATAGTCTCTTCTATGCAGAAAAACTACACCTCAAGTTAATTTTAAAAAATTTAAATGAACAACAATAATTCAAGAAAATGGTTCTGCCAGTTGAGTGGACTGGATTCAATGGAGTGTGGGTTGAAACCCACTGAATTCTTTCCTCCCCACTTTCCATTAAACTTTTCTGTGGAAAAGTTCTTAATCTATTCCCTTCTCTCATCTCACATGACTCTTTTCTGTCACTCTCATAAAAATAAAGAACCAGATCTCTTTAATAAACACGTAATTCCCTTTCAGAGTAATTTTAAAACCCCAAATTCCATTCATGCTTCAAACTTTTCTCCTCCCTCAGCCTGGATTGCTTCAGGCCTGGAGCTCAGAACAGAGGGTGGGGTGGAGCGGGGAGTGGGTTTCTTCACAGGGCCCACTCCCTGCCCTTATTTCTGAGCAGCAGCTCTTGGTTCCTGCAGTGTTGGACCCCGGAGGAAGGGACAAGGAGAGGTCCTTTTCTAGGACCTGGATGGCACAGGTAGGGTGTGTCTTGACGCCCTCTACCTGGGGCAGGCCCCAAAGACTGGTTCCCTGGCCTGGCACTATTTGTGGGTTTTCCCAAGAGCTTCCCCTGGGGTTTTCCAGCTGTGCTTTCCCAGGGAGACTCAGGCAGCCTGGGCTTTGTGTAACCCAACTCTTCATTGCAAATCCTTCTCTACTGTGAAAAGAAAAGCTATGACAAACCTAGATAGCATATTAAAAAGCAGAGACATCACTTTTTCAACAAAGGTCCATGTGGTCAAAGCTATGGTTTTTCCAGTAGTCATGTATGGATGTGAGAGTTGGACCATAAAGAAGACTGAGAGCTGAAGAATTGATGCTTTTGAAATATGGTGCTGGAGAAGACTCTTCAGAGTCCCTTGGACTGCAAGGAGATCAAACTAGTCAATCCTCAAGGAAAGCAACCCTGAATATTCATTGGAAGGACTGACATTAAAACTGAAGCTCCAAAACTTTGGCCACCTGATGCAAAAATCTGACTCTTTGGAAAAGACCCTGATGCTGGGAAAGATTGAAGGCAGGAGGAGAAGGGGACAACAGAGGACTAGATGGTTGGATGCCATCACTGACTCAATGGACATGAGTTTGAGCAGGCTCCGGAAGATGGTAAAGGACAGAGGAGCCTGGATGCTGTAGTTAATGCGCTCACAAAGAGTCAGGCATGACTTAGCAACTGAACAATAGCAACAACAATGCAAGATAAGAATATTGTCTTCTTAACCTCCTTATTCATCTTCCCCATCCCACCTATTGAGTTCCATAAACCACATATGTGTTTGTACGTTTGAGATTGGCATCATTAAATTCTATTCTAGAACATTATTCCACAATTTATCCATAAGTTGATTCTAAATATCATAAACCATCAATACTACATATGTGCATGTATTTAAATATATGTATAATGTGAGTGAGTGATAGTCACTCAGTCATGTCCAACTCTTGTGACCCCATGGACTGTAGCCTGCCAGGCTCCTTTGTCCATGGAATTCTCCAGGCAAGAACACTGGAGTGGATTGCCATTTCCTTCTCCAATATATGTATAATATTACATATATATTTAACACACAAGCATATAATAATGTTTAAGAATCTTGCTTCACCACTTAATAACTTTTTGATCTTAAGTCGCTTAACTTCTTCTCATCTTAGTTCTTTACCTCTGAGAAGAGGAAAATGATAACCATCTCTTGAGGTTGTTGTGGGGATTATGTAACTAACCCATGGCACATGCTAGTTATTTTTCACTGCTTACCTCAGTCACATACAAGTGTTATATTTCTTTTACGGCATCAATACAATGATCTCTGGACCACATAAAGTAGAACCCTCTAGCATCAAGGTTACATGAATTTCTTTCTCTTATGCTTTAATGCTAGCTTTTATTATAATGCCATTTTCAAATTTCACTTCATATTCTGACCACAGATTTCCTGTATAGTTTTCTCCTCACCGTCTATAAATGCCTTATTTTTTTTTGTTGTTGTTCATTTTCAAAAATATAATGTGCCCCTATTATATCTTCAAATCATTTCAGCCTTTCTGTTATGTGCACAATGACTGCTCAGGATTCACTTCTCCCTGGGGACACGTGCCCGCCCCTGACCTCCTGCTAAGATCCAGACCAGATGCTTTCTAGGCTCCATGGGTACCACTGGGATCTATCCTTGTTTCCTGTATTCCATGATTTCCTCTCTTTGATCTCTCCCTATTTTTGCTGGTGTAAATCCTCAAATAATTTCCTCAGAACGGTAGTACACGCAAGGCAAAGTTTCTTACTATTTGCATACCCAGAAACCTTATTATTTGCCACTGTGCAATCACAGTAAAACTCTTAGCAGTATCTTTTAATTGACAGGGTCATTCTAAAGCCCATAGGAAACACAAATAATAATCAAAATGAAAAAAAAAGCTAGTGCTACTTAACTTCAACACATCTAAAAGCTACAGTATTCAGCAAAGTGTGATAGTTCACTGCTATATTTAAAACGATAACCATCTAGAATGCAGTGGCTATATTTGGGGTTGGGGGGGCGATGATATGGTGGGGCATGTAGGAGGCTTCTGGGGTCACTACTATTACNTTCGGCCGCAGCTCGTACCTCATCCAGCACCAGATCATCCACACGGGCGAGAAGCCCTACACCTGCCCGTCCTGCTGGAAGAGCTTCAGCCACCACTCGACGCTGATCCAGCACCAGCGCATCCACACGGGCGAGAAGCCCTACGTGTGCGACCGCTGCGCCAAGCGCTTCACCCGCCGCTCAGACCTGGTCACCCACCAGGGCACCCACACGGGCGCCAAGCCGCACAAGTGTCCCATCTGCGGCAAGTGCTTCACGCAGAGCTCGGCCCTGGTCACCCACCGGCGCACCCACACCGGGGTCAAGCCCTACCCGTGCCCCGAGTGCGGTAAGTGCTTCAGCCAGCGATCCAACCTCATTGCGCACAACCGCACGCACAACGGCGAGAAGCCCTACCACTGCCTCGACTGCGGCAAGAGCTTCAGCCACACCTCGCACCTCACCGCCCACCAGCGCACCCACCGCGGCGTCCGGCCCTACTCCTGCCCCATGAGCTTCAGCCGGCGTTCCAACCTGCACCGGCATGAGAAGATCCACACGGCGGGGCCCAAGGCCCTGGCCATGCTGATGCTGGGCGCGGCTGGGACTCTGGCGGCACCCCCGCCTGCCCCTACCTAGGAGGCTGGGAGGGAGGGGCCGGGGCATCTGCTGTGGGGGTATGACCTGGGAGACCCAAGAAGGGAGGCGGGGAGGTGCTGGCATGGGGGTGGCAACACGGGAGGAGCTCGGATGAGGACCAGGCATGCTCGCCGCAAATTAAAGGCCTTGGAATTCAAAAAAAAAAAAGATGAAAAATAAATAAAATGATAACCAACAAGAACCTACTACTGTGTAGCTCAGGGAATTCTGTTCAATGTTACATGGAGGAGAGTTTGATGGAGAATGGATACATGCATACATATGGCTGAGTCCCTGTGCTATCCAACTGAAACTATCACAACACCTAATTGGCTATACCCCAATTTAAAATTAAAAGTTAAAAAAATATGATATTGGCATAAAAACAAATATTTCAGTGCCTGTGGTATCTCCCCAAATCTCAGCCACTCTAGCTTGACACTTCTTTTCATTGAGGCAGACCTGTTCAATTGGTAATTGGGCATGACCATCCACAACAAGGTGTCTCTAGTAAAACATGTGTTCTAGACTTCAGCAGCCCCATCAGTAGTATGGGACCAGCCTCTGCAGAGGAAGCTTCTAGCAACCAGGATGCAGTTAACATCTGGCGGTGATGCCGGACACCATGGGCCCTGCTGTGTCTCTTTGGTCACACTGCTGCTACCTTGGTTCAGACATCTTCCTGTCCAGGTTTGGGTGCCAACCCCCCAAATGTCCCACCTACACTCCTGTACCCTGCCATCCATTCTGCTTGCTGGAGCCATACTGCTTTGTCTGAAAGATGTATCTAATAAGTTTTCTTAACAAATATCATACATTAAAGCATATATAGGGAATCCAGAGAAAGAGTACTGTTGACCGTGTTTACAGAGAAGAAATGGAGACGCAGACAAAGAGAACAGACTGGCGGATGTCGTGGGGGAAGGAGAGGGTGGGACAAATTGGAAAAGCACCATTGACATATATACACCACCATGTGTGAAATAGCTAGCTTGTGGGAAGTAGCTATAAACACAAGGCGCTCAGCCTGGTGCTCTATGATGACGGAGAAGGGTGGAAAGGGGGGAGGAGGGAGGCTCAAGAGGGATGAGATATATATATACACATATATATATATGTGTGTATAATTATGACTGACTTGTGTTGATGTAGAGCAGAGACCACCACAACATTGTAAAGCAATTATCTTCCAATTAAATAAACAAATCAATAAGTTAGCTCCTCCACGTAGCCCCTGTCTGCATACACACAGACCCCAGATCCCTAACATGGCTTTCTATGACCTAATGTGCTTGCTCCCTTTTCTCTCCTTCCAGTTGTCCAGGGTTTCTAACATCCTCTCTCGCATTTGGATCCATGCACAGGCTTTCCTGCTCCTGGATTCTTCTTTCTTCTCAGGCTCTGTCCTCTTCATTTTTCAAGTCTCCATTTGGGCTGCACTTGCTCTTGACCCAGCTGCTTGACCCCCTCCCCCCACCCCAGCTGGGTCCAGTGCTTCTCCATGTGACCCCACAGCCCCTGCAATGATCCATCTTTTAGTAGCACTTTCCTGTTGTTTCCCCCAGGAGACTGCAAGCTCTTTGAGGGTAGGTACGATGGCCATCTTGCTCACTGGTTTCTAGTACCGAGCAATCACTAGATACTTCTTGAAATCCTCAGCGAGAACGGACTTGTGGACACAGTTGGGAAGGAGAGGGTAGGATGAATTGGGAGACCAGCACTGACACACATACACTAAAGCAAGCCGTGTTAGTCGCCCAGTCACGTCCGACTCTGTGCAACCCCATGGACCATAGCCCACCATGGAATTCTCCAGGCAAGAACACTGGAGTGGGTTGCCATTTCCTTCTCCAGGGCATCTTCCCAACCCAGGGATCGAACCCGGGTCTCCCACGTTGCACGCAGGCTCTTTACCATCTGAGCCACCAGGGAAGCCCCACCATTGTGTAGAATAGTTTGTGAAAAGCTGTTGTATAGCTCAGGGCATTCAGCTCAGTGCTCTGTGATGCTAGATGGATGACAGGGAGGCCCAAGAGGGCAGGGATGTACGTACAGTTATGGCTGATTCACACAGTCATACGGCAGAAACCAACACAACACTGGGAAGCAATCAATTTTTAAAAATTACTCGATCGAGATCATGGAACTATGCATGCACGTTGTACGAGGGTTAAACTTTTCTGTATGTTTAATTGAAAAAAAATCAATAAATAAAATTTAAAAATGAAAGAAAAAGTGTGAAAGGAGAGTTGTCTTAAATCAACACTTCACCTGTTTCCTGAGCTGTTGTTGAGGAGTGTGTCAGTCACTCAGTTGTGTCCAGCTGTTTGCGACCCCATGGACTGTAGCCCGCCAGGCTCCTCTGTCCATGGGACTCTCCAGGCAAGAATACTGGAGTGGGTTGCCATTTCCTCCTCCAGGGGATCTTCCTGACCCAGGGATTGAACCCAGGTCTCCTGCAGTGCAGGCGGATTCTTTACCGTTGAGGAGTATGTGGCATTATTTTCAGGCAGTTCCAAAGCCGTTGGGCTGGTTTACCTTACTCTTTCATGAAGGCTAAACGAGGAAACCAGGCTGTTGGCTGCATTTTCTCAATATGCTATTGGAGATGATCTCTTTTTAATGATGGCCAGCTCCATGCCATTTGGAACACTGGATGGGGGAGTCTGAGATCTACAGCTTCGTGGCCTTAGCATACGTTCCTTGCTGCCCAAACCTCTGGGAAGAAAATGTGCTCATTGCTTCGGAGGAAGGCGCCTCTTTGCCACGGGAGAGCTAAAGGGTGGCCGGTTGCCATGCGCCTGTGCACCAATCTGTGTGACGATATTGGCTGTTTGTGTTCAGAGAAGATGGTAAAACCATGAGGCTTCTTGCTGCGTTTGTAACTGATATTCACAGTGGTGAAAGGATTTGAGAGTCCAATAGCAAATTGGCCCTTTTTGGGGAATTTTATGAGAACTCTCACTCCTTCTCAAGCCACATTTGCATTCCTGCTGAATGGGCTTTTTCGATTTTCCTTGTGAACATGCATTAAAATCAACAGCCAAAGCAAATACATTTTGGAGATGGCTGTGTACCAGGATAAACACAGGTTGATTTTATTCGAAGATAATGAGATGGGGTGGGCTTTTTCCCCCAGTTTACTTAGGTCATGATTCTGATTCCTTTTATCAAACATACCAGATATTATGAGCATAAATGAGTTCAGGAATCTTGAGTGTAGGGCCCTGGGGACGTCAAGCACTTATAGAAGCATGCTTCCCCTTCTTGCGTCCTTTCTGGAGCCTTTTGTGTGCACAGCTCCTGAGTCTGGGATGTCTTCTTTTGAAAAGCTTCAAACATCACGCAGAACTGCAATGGTGAATATTGTTGTTCAGTAACTAAGCCTTTGCAACCCCATGGACTGCAGCACACCAAGGTCCTCTGCCCTTCTCTGTCTCCCAGAGTTTGCTCAGATTCATGTCCACTGAGTCGGTGACGCTACTTGACCATCTCATCCTCTGCCGCCCCCTTCTCCTTTTGCCTCCAGTCTTTCCCAGCGTCAAGGTCTTTTCCATTCAGTCAACTCTTTGTATAGTTGGCCAAAGTATTGAAGCTTCAACTTCAGCATCAGTCCTTCCAATGAATATTCAGGGTTGATTTCCTTTAGGATTGACTGGTTTGGTCTCCTTGCTATCCAAGGGACTCTCAATAGTCTTCCCCAGCACCACAATGGTGACTAGGTTGAGAGCTAAAAAGGCTACTTCTCTTATAGACCCAAGAATGAAGAGGAATGAGAGAGCCATAAGAGATGTAACTACAGGGCCATGAGATGATTTGGTGCATGGGTGTGTCTCAACTTGGCCATGGTAGTTTGAGGCTGGTCTTTTAGCAAGAAGCTGATTGAATGCAAAGGGGTTTGTTGGTTTAAAGTAGCCAGTTGAAGCTCATTCAACAGTAGACAGGACTCACTATATCAGAGCAAACTTCAAATTTTATCCTTAAAGAAAAATCTAAAGCAAGGGAAGAATTAAATCCTTATAAATAATTATCTTTTCATTAACATATGGCTCTCAGAGACATTCATAAGCATGAAGCCCCACCTCTCTTACTGGCCAGAGCAAAAATGGAGGCACAGGACTTTCCTGGTAGTTGAGTGGGTAAGAATATAGCTGCCAATGCAGGAGACACAGGTTCAATCCCTGGGCTGGGAAGATTCCGCATGCCGCAGAGCAACTAAGCCCATGCGCCTCAGCTATTGAGACCTGTGTTCTAGAGTCCAGGAACCAAAACTACTGAGCTCATGTGCTACAACCACTGAAACCGGCACACCCGAGAGCACCCTAGAGTGCTTCCCCAACAAGAGAAGCACTGAAATGAGAAGCCCATGAACTGCAACTAAGAGTAGCCCCTGCTTGCTGCAACTAGAGAAAGAGCCCACGCAGCAATGAAGACCCAGCACAGCCAAAACTAAATAGATAAATAAAATAAAGGGATGAAATGAATGCCTGTGCTTTCTACTCTTCATAGCTTCCCTTGTAAGGTTGGAAAGAGTTATTTACATTTTGTATTTAGGGAGCTAGATACAAGCAAAAATAAATAGCGGGTGAAACACCCTCCATGGCAAACATGATAGACTTTAGTCATTAATTGGACATACAGTATGAAGAACTGGGAAGAGGAAAATATTTCGTGCATCTGTGGCTTCTCTGAACTAGAGAAGGAGGGTAAAAAAAAATGAGTTTTGTTTTAAATATACAAAGTTTTAAGTAGGATGGACCATCCAAGTGGAGAGAATGGAGCTTCCTGTAGAGAACGGAGCTGCTGCTTCAGAGAAAGTAATGATACAGCCTTGTTAAGAAGCAAACTGAAGACCAGATTTGGACAAGGACCAGTAAGGGAACAGGAGGAGGAAAAGAGTCATGAGAAGCATGAAAGGGTTATTTCATTTGAGGTTACCTTGAGTCGGACACGACTGAAGCGACTTAGCAGCAGCAGCAGTGTTCATCAATCAAACTTCAGGTTTCCATACTCATGTTTCAGGAGAGAAAACCATGGCAATGCCTGAAAGAATCTAAAACTTCGTGATGCTTCTCCAAAAACAATGCATCTGATACTGAAGGACATTGAGACGTGGAAGTAGAAATACATAGATATTTCAATATATGTGGAGG